GGGGTTTTAGGTGTCAAAACATTTTTTAGGGTTTAGAATTTTAATATATAGGCTTTATAAATCTATAATTAATGGCATTTTTMTWWWTWMWRACCRCTAAGTGGCATTCTTGCAAATGTGCACACAAAAAGTGGCATTTTTGTAATTGCCCCTTTTATAATTGGTTAAACTATTTTTATTATATATATTAAATGATACTTTTTAAAATAAAAATAGTGTTTTAATATTCGCGATTTTTGCTAAAACAACTTATACTATGAAACAGAGGGAATATTAATTATTTACCAAAAAACAATTCTATTACATGTTAATTCAGAGAAAAAAATATGTTAGTCCATTGTACTTCTATTTTTCTTTTTCTTTTTTGAAAAAGTACAAATAATTAGACCGTTTGAGCAATTATTTTCTATATTCACTTTCTAATTTTTTGTTAATAAAAAAAGTTTAGTTCTTTTTTTTGGTCGACTAATAAAATAAGTTTAGTTAATAAACTAGTTAATGACTAATTCAAAGAAGAAGGGGTATTATTGGAAAAATTAAATAATTTAAAATAGTGTTGTTCCTTGCTGTTATTTAGCAAAAAAAAAAACTATATACATTATTTTTCTGTATTTTCGCTTTCTCTCCCACCTGAATCACACGAAGAACACAGAGAGAACAAAAAACAGAGACACTTTCTTCGCTGCAAAGAAAAAATCAATTTTTTTTTCATCAATGTCTTCTCGTCGGAGAGTTCTTCTCAAAGTTATCATTCTCGGAGATAGCGGGTAAATTTTCGTCTCCGATTCGAAAATTTTGAATTTTTTGTTATTGGGTTATATTCGATTTGATTTGTGATTAGAGATTTTGTTTTTGTGTTCAGGGTTGGTAAGACTTCGTTAATGAATCAGTAAGTTTCTAAAAAAAAAAAAAACTCAGATCTATGTTTTTTTTTGGGGATAAAAATCATGTTTTTAATGAAATTTGATTTGATTATATGTTTTAGGTTTGTGAATCGGAAATTTAGTAATCAGTATAAAGCAACGATTGGAGCTGATTTCTTGACTAAAGAGGTTCAAATTGATGACAGAATGTTCACTTTACAGGTAATAAATCAATAATCTTGTGTTAATTTCTCATTAAAGATTCTTAGAATATTCTATAATTGGATCTTAAAGTTTCTAACTTTATAATGCAGAGAAAGTTAAAGTCTTACTTTTTTTTTTTTAGTACCAATATGAATATATGATTCTCTTAGTGTGTTTTGTCTAAGAATGTAGTGTAAAGTTTCTTAATTTCTATGTGTTTAGATTTGGGATACTGCGGGACAAGAGAGATTTCAGAGTTTGGGAGTAGCGTTTTATCGAGGAGCAGATTGTTGTGTTCTTGTGTATGATGTTAATGTTATGAAATCTTTTGAGAATCTTAATAATTGGAGGGAAGAGTTCTTGATTCAGGTAAGATAATAACACCATTTTGTTTTTGTCATATTTGAGAATTTGTTGTTATAAAAACCAAATGATTGTTTACGCGGTGTGGATTGTTTTAGGCCAGTCCATCGGATCCTGAGAATTTCCCGTTTGTCGTGTTGGGGAACAAGACTGATGTTGATGGTGGCAAGAGCCGAGTGGTGAGTGAGACATTCTTGTGTTTATGATTACCGAAGAAAGGCAGGCGTATCTAGAGCTTCTCATTGTTTGTTTGGTTTCTTTCTATTTGTTAGGTTTCTGAGAAGAAAGCAAAGGCGTGGTGTGCGTCTAAAGGAAACATTCCTTACTTTGAGACTTCCGCGAAAGAAGGATTCAATGTAGATGCGGCTTTCGAATGCATAACCAAAAATGCATTCAAGAATGAACCTGAGGAAGAACCGTAAGTACAACTATGTGTAACTTCTTTATGTCGGTTTTGGATTATTGTGTTTCGTCATAGTACTTATCTCGTGACCTTCTCGTTCTTCTAATACCTCACCTCCGCAGGTACCTTCCCGACACTATTGATGTTGCTGGGGGTCAGCAACAAAGATCAACAGGGTGTGAATGCTAAATCAAGCATTAAGTTTGTTTCAGGATACTAAGGTTTTTGTTTTCTTTGGCAAATTTGATTTTGTACAATATTATATAACTTCCAGAAGTGTAATTTGGATTCATTGAATTACAGATTCTAACGAATTGGGTTCCTTTTCTTTCCAATTCCATACAATGTCAAAATCAAAACCATGTAATGTCACAAAAATTCTCATCTATGATATCTCTCTCTGTTTCTTGTGTCTATATTTCCTCAAACTTGACTACAATTCATCTTTAGCAGACCTATCCTTCGGTTTCAACTCTTTGTTTATAAAAACAGCCATGTCCTTGGCGCTTGATTTCGTCGATAGCTTTAACTGCAAATCGAAACCGGTAAAGATAAATTGGTCAAAACTACAGAGAAAGCTTAAAACTATGCAAAAACATTCATAATGAAGTCGAAAGGGACTAAGCTAGTGAGCTCTTTCACAATAGTTATTACCGGTTTCTCCTTTGCACCAGCTTTGTAGAGCAAGATCAACGGATATTCATCATCGACCTGTAATCAACAATCAATAGGATTAGCTCGTGTTTCGGGAATTGTCAGTCTTTGTTGTAGGTAAGGTTTGGTTCACCTGTAATTTGGGATTCTCATTTGCAGATGCATCAATTCTTGCAAAAACAAGATTCTCAAAGCCTTTGAAATGCTTAGCCAACTTCTCGACTTGTTTGCTTAGTGCCTCACAGTTCACGCACCACGGTGTATGTACCTGTTTTCGGTTTCCCACACAAAATCTATGTTTTAGTGTCGGCTTCAGTTAATAAAAAATTTGGTCCAGAAGAAGGTTCTCGGGTTTACTAACCTCAAGAAGAACATTCTCACGGCTGTTCAACACCAACTCATCAAAAGTCTTTCCTACCACAGTCACTACGCTTGCGTTTTCCTGCAGATTTCACCGGGTTAATTGATCTTAGCTTGTATATCTTCCAAGTCTCTTCAGTTTCAAAAATATTCCAAATAAGAACATCAAAGAGTATTATATCTTTCATACTCACATTATCTGGAACTGGCTCTGACTTATAATAACGCGAAACGGTTCCATCCGCAAGTCCTGAACAAAAATCCTAAATTGATCCAATACATATGACATGAATCAGATACTATATGAATACTTGGAAGAGCATGAAAAAACCTAATGCAAATTCATACTTCTATGTTGCTTGGTGATGGATCTGATTCGAGCAAGTACTTGGAGTTCAGGTTGTTATCGAAAGCAGCAACCTGTTGAAGAAAACCGTAGATTAGTCACATTGGTTTGAAGCTTTATTATCAGTAGTCAGTAGATCACAATGTGTCAATCACGTAGACCGAAACAAGTATCAGAAACTTACAACAGTTTCATTCGCAACTTCTATTCCGAATAACGTCAAGAATGGCATTGCAAGGTTCTCATTTGTTATGTCAACATATATAAACATAAGCTGCAAGAAAAGTAATATACGTTACGAGAGAATCTAAATAACTAGATCTATTTGGCCTTTAAGATTCAGCATTGGGAAATACCTTTGATTTAAACTTTCTTGCAAAACGTTCAAGAGACTGAGCAAGTTTCTGAAAGTCATCAGCCTTGGAGAAGACCATAACCTAAACATGG